TTCAAACTTCACAACTCATTTTTACTGTACCCTTCAACAAATTACCAAATCAATATATAAAGACAAACCTACAAATGTTTGCCATATGCAAGGTGTGGGGGGCGGGGAAACAAGTTAATACATTTCGATAAAGGAAAATTCATTTTCAGTCCTCACATAAACCCTTTAAGGATCCTGGTAGTATATTACAAATACATGTAGCCACTCTTTTGAAATATAACATAGTTAAAGTTCTTTGTAAGGCTCCTATTAATCTCGGGGTCAAACTTGCCTCAAAATCTACTAATGTATTTACTGTTACCAAAATTCTACTTGCAATTTTTTTTAATTAAATAAGTGCTACGTTGATACCAGTTCTGGGGACTTGGATATTGACTTTCCAGAGCCTCTCAAAGATTAGATCAGTTCTAAGAAAAACATGTAATTCAGACTCATGATTTATAATTATCAAACAATAGGAAAGTGACCAAAGTTTCTGAGCTGTAAAAGAATTTAGAAATCAGTAGTGCTTTCATATCTAAAAGTTTCAGGGTTTATAGCTCTAATATGCCTTTCTAGAAAATAAATACCTAGGAAAGATAAGTCTGAGTAGAACTTTAAAAATTTCAATGACTGAGAAAAAAAAAAGTATACTATTCAGTTCTGTACTTTCAAAAATGTAACTACTATCTTTAACAAAATACTGAAAAGGAAAGAGGGTTCAGAAGAGATGTGAGGCCATATTTATGTACTAGTCACTTGACATGTTAGCAAAAAGTGTACTGAAATATTTAAAATAATCCCAAGGTAAACAGTACTAAAAACATGAAAATAATAAAATGACATGAAAATGTCATAGAAAACCCCAAATTATTTTCTGAACTAGCACTTTTTGTAGTTCACTACTATAATCCTAGTAATTGACCATTATCTCTCACATAGGAAATGGCAAAGGCCATGCAACTGATCTCTACATTTACTCTGACTCCCAACTCACCACCAGCTCATTATTCATCCAGTCACCAAAATGGTCTTTTAAAATGTGAATCAGATATGTCATTCTTCCTTCTTATAACTCTCCAAATGATCTGCAAGAAAGTAGAAAAAAAATCCAAATTTCTTACTGTGGCAATTTAGGAACAATTTGAATTTAGATTTTTGCCATCTAACATTCTAATATTCCACTTGCCTGCCACCTTGAATGCCAGCCAAATTGGCCATTTCTCTTCTGTCCCTGAAATAAAATAATCCAGGTTTGCTTGTATTTCAGGCTCTTAGATTTTATAATCCCCCTAGCTCATTATGTGACCTTCATTTCCTTTTCCTTATATTATATATATATATATATCATTCTGTCTCCTCCAAGCAGAATTAAGTTTCTTAAGAGTAGGGATAAACTTCCATTTACTGTTAGATCCCAATAGCACACACAGTTTTGGCAAATAGCAGATGCTTACTAAATGTCTATGAATAAAGGAGTGAAACAAAATATTCCAAACTACTTTTATTTATTTATTTATTCATACAGAACTGGATACAGGCCAAAGGTGCAGGGGCAGTTAGAGGATTCACCAGGAACAGAGTGGGGAGCAGAACAGGCAAATCAATGAAGTACACTGCTGAGGGGAGCAGCGGGTGGGTGAGGAGAGGTCTGCCACGCCATGTGGGTCACCTCCCGGGCAGGTGGGGATCAAATTCATGCTGAAATGGCTTAGCTTCTTAGTGTTGTGCTTTAACCTGCTGCACCACCAGGGAGGACCCCAAAACTACATTTTAACTCATGATATACATCCACAAAATTAGGACAGAAAATTATACATTTATTTAGCACTTATCAAGAAAGTA